GTAGTGAATTGTTTATTGTCTGGGGTGTTCGGGAGCAGATGTGGCTTGTGGGTGTCTCTGCGCTGAGACGATAGGAACAGACTCCATTATGTCTTGAGTGTGTAATTTCACTGGATGGAAGCTCGGATGGGAAAAATGCCCTTGAAGGGATAAATGGTTTTATCAGACATATGAACTGTCGGGGAAGAGAGCGCGAAAGAGCCGGAGAGTGGAATAAAAGGGGTGTCAACAGTGCAGTTTACTCTCAGACGGATATTCATACCTCTGGAGGAAGTGAATTGGTGGACAACAGGGTCCATATGTTTGTGCACGCCGCTGGCCTTCCAGCTTATTTATTACCTTGTCACTGATTTAATGGTAGAACGGTGCCGAACAAAAAACAACAAAACCTAAACCACTCAACATGTAAAGTTGCTTTGATGATTCCTATTCTTTACATGTTATCCCCTTTTTTTTACTTTTCTTTCTGGTAGACTTTGATGGGTTATTTGAGAAGTAAATATGTTGTGAGCATCGATTCTGTGAGAATGAAGAAAGCAGCCTGACTGCAAACATTCCCAACAGGAACGGCATGTGGACAGCAAAGGACTTCTAGACATGAGGGATATTGGTGAGAAGAGGACCTGTGGAGAGCTAATGGGATATTGAAATAAAAAAACGCGCCTGCTGCCGTCTGGAGAGACCTACAGAAGCATCAGCTGGCGGTCTGGCTAGTGGCAGCTGCCTTGCTCAAAGACTTGGGACTTTGTGTTCATGTCTTCAGATATTTGGCCGTGAGTCTGGGACAGACCTGGTAAAGGCTAAACTGTGATGCCCAGTTTCCAAAAAAAGGTCTTCAACTCACTTCCGCATGAAACTATTGTGGATCCCGTTTGGGAGGCAGGGGTCATGAAATCCAGTCGGGCCTTGCCGAGCCGGCAAAGCCTTCATCATCGAAGCGGCTGGAAGGATTTGTTGCGTCTCCGCTCTGTGCAGATGATGTGGTTCAGTTCCAAGAGAACGTGCTCTTCAGCACTGACCGGGGAGGCTGTTGTGCTGAAGAGGGAGCTGCACGTAAGCCCCGGAAGTAACTGAAAGAATAAGATTCCTGCCAGAAATTAGCTCAATTTTATAGGATGGCTTTGCTCAGCCTCAGAGGTGTCAGGGATGTCTGGAATACGCTCCTAACCCTACAACAAAAACTCGGGGGAGTATGCAGCGCACACTTGTGTCACTCAAGCAGCACGGCCCCTCCCCTCCAAAAGAAAAGCATATTAAGTATAGTATAAACTATAATGTTGCACAAGAACAATAACAGTGTTTGATTTAGCTAATTAACAGCATTTTATCTGTTTATTCATTGCACAAAGTTGTCAGTTGTTAGTCAGCGGGCCATGAAACGCCCTTTGGGACAGTCGGGTCTATGAGGTTAATGAGAGACGCTCAGTGTCGTTTTACTAGAGAGAGCAGGTCTGAGAGGTCTGCAAGTCCAAAAACGACTGAACATCTCCTCAGCTCCTCCACCTGTCTGCTTCCACCGAGGGGCACAATGAGGGGCAGCTAATCCATGTTGGCGTGGAGGGAGGAAGGGGGGATTGGGGGGCGGGGGGGGGGAGCCAGCCAGCCAGCCACTCTCATGTGAAGTCTTGTGATAGCGGAGACACTTGATCACATTTATCTGCAGTTTACACCTTCCTGTCTTGATCTCTGAGCTATACAGGGGATCACCTTTCCTACTCAAAGAAAGAAAGCAAGCAAGCGAGGGCTGGGGAGGGGAGGGGGGGGGACGGTGGAGGGGTGGATGGATGGAGGGAGAGAAAAGAGGCCAGGCCCTCTGTGCGAATGCTGGTTGGGATTGTAAAGCGAGCTGAGCGATGACAGCTAAATGCGCTAATTTTCTACTGGGAATCAGGCTTTGTCTCCCCGGGAGAGCTCAGTGAGCTGTGACATCGAGGGACCGATTTAAAAAAAAAAAACTCAGGTCACTAGATTTTGGTAGAAAATGTTCGACAAACGCTTGCTGTCTGGATTCTTTTGCCATCGCATCGAAGCATTCATGTGTTCATGAGTTCATTATGTTCGCTGACAAATTATGCATAGTGGACCTAAACAGAAACGGTAAAATGTCACCCCCCCCCTCGCTGGTGTGCAAGTATAAAAAAACTGATTTAAGCAAAGAAATGTGAACGCTAAGTACCACGAGTTGAAAACTTTAGCTTTACACACAAAAAAATTGAGACAGGTGAGTCTGTGTATTGTGAATGTAAAAAGTTAAAAGCTGACAGACCGTTTTGAAACTGCCTCTGAGGAATGAGCACAATAACCGTAAAAATAATCATTCAGAGTGGCTTGATCTGATTTTAAAAGACATTAATCCATCCATCCATCCATCCATTGTCAAACCGCTTATCCTGCACACAGGGTCGCGGGGAAAGACATTAATACGAAATGCAATATTATTGAATTGTAAACTGAAAGTCAAAAAAGTCAACTGACTTTTGAACATGCACAAGATGACCAAAACAATGATGAATTGGTTGTGAATGAATTGCTTTTGGTTTACCGACACTGCTCAGTGAGAGTTAACTAACCATTGAAAAGTGGATTTATAAATCCAACATAAAACATGAAGGTGAAGAGTTGAAGTCCACCTGCATGACAATAAATGGATACCAGTTTATACCAGAAAAAACACACTAAACTATGTATATGTGAAGCAGTTGACTGTATGGAGCATGTGAACCAATAATAACATTCAATAAATACATTTTTATGATTTGTTTCCTAATGTCAAGGTAACAAAATCATTCTATTCCATATACGAATACGGGTGTTTTCTGATCTGATGGAAACCGATGTAATGCCCGGGTCAGGGACAGACCTTTTTACTTCTTACCATGTTCTAAATAAGAGTAGTATTGCTGCAGGTGGATTTGTGATGCATGAGGATAATCAGAGTCTAATGAAGACTCATAGGTAAGCAATGCAAAGATCCAGTAACACCGGGAATCAGGAATCAGGAATCAGGAAACTTTTATTGCCAAAATATGTCAAACATACAAGGAATTTGTCTTGGCGGTTGGTGCGTGACAGTAGACAGTGTGACAAAAGACAACAAGACAGCAGTGCACAAGTAATAAAATAAGGTAAAATAAAATGCTAATGCAATGGGTTAGTAGAATAAGGCTATGGGTTAGTATAAAACAAGAGAATAAAGTTAAAGTTAAAAATAAAAAATATTTAAAAAGTTAAAAAATATTACGCATAAAGTGCACGTTAGCGAAGTGACAAAGTGACGAGTGACGACAAAGTGAAAAATGACAGTTAAAGTGACATGTGCAGTATGAAGGAGAGTGACCGGTGGAATGTTATAGTCAGACAGTGGGGGACCGGCTCTGTTGATGAGCCCGACTGCCGACGGGAAGAAACTGTTGGTGTGGCGGGAGGTCGTAGTCCTGATGGACCTCAGCCTCCTGCCAGATGGAAGGGGCACAAACAGGTTTTGTCCGGGGTGGGAGGGGTCGGCTACGATCTTTTTAGCTCGCTTCAGAGACCTGGAGGCGAACAAGTCCTGCAGGGACGGCAGATTGCAGCCGATCACCCTCTCTGCAGAGCGGATGACACGCTGCAGCCTGCCCTTGTCCTTGGCTGTGGCTGCAGCGTACCAGACGGTGATGGAGGAGCAGAGGATGGACTCGATGATGGCCGTGTAGAAGTGGACCATCATCGTCTTTGGCAGGTTGAATTTCTTCAGCTGCCTCAGAAAGAACAACCTCTGCTGAGCCTTCTTGGTGATGGAGCTGATGTTCAGCTCCCACTTGAGGTCCTGGATGATGATGGAGCCCAGGAAACGGAAGGAATCCACAGCGGTGACGGGGGAGTCACACAACACAGGGTGATGGGGGACGGTGGGGCTCTGTTCCGCCGGAAATCCACAACCATCCCCACTGTCTTTAGAGCGTTGAGCTCCAGGTTGTTCGGACTGCACCACGACACCAGATGGTCACCTGTAGGCGGACTCGTCCCCACCAGAGATCAGTCCAATGAGGGTGGTGTCATCCGCAAACTTGACGAAGCTTGACGGACTGGTAACTGGAGGTGCAGCTGTTGGTGTACAGGGAGAAGAGCAGAGGGGAAGAACGCAGCCTTGGGGGGAACCGGTGCTGATGGTCCGAGAGGCTGAGACATGTTTCCCCAGCATCACATTCTACAGATTTGTTTAGGGTGAGGACATTTTAATGGAACACACACACACACACACACACAAACGCGCGCACACGCAACGATGTAAAGGAGCTATAAACAGTAATAATGCCCCAGAATTCTTTATGGGAACAGTCTCCTGTTGCTTAGTTGTAATTATCCTTTAATATGGACCCTGATGTCGTCTCTGCTTTCGCCTGCGATGTCTCACACACACACCCATGCGTACAGCGCATACAAAGTTTATCTGTCTCTCAAACACACACACACACACACACACACAGCATTGCTCTGTGCATCATTACACTCACTGTATTGCCTTACACAGGTAGAAACCTGAAGACTGTGTTAAGCTGTTTAAGACTCTTTTAGCTTCATTAAGACAGACAGAGCTCAGTCAGACAAAGTAGCTTTCACTGAGGCCCACAGTCTGCCCCATTCAGTCATGGATAATTTAACACGGACCAAATGTCAAGTGATTTTCAACTTTTACTTTGATTCTAATCCATTCTTTTCCTCCTCCGATACATTCTATTCTATTCTTTTCTATTTTGTCCTCTTCTAGTCTCTGCCAAAGTCTTAACACAAATGTGCAGACTGAGAAATGCTCTGGCAGCCAATGTCAATCATCTCGCCTGTTTGTGGAAATCACACCTGAGGGCCAAAAAACAAGCGCTCTGCAAGTGGTTTCACGTGTCTCTATTACGCCCGAGGAGACGCTGATTTAACTTCAGAAGCCGCTCGGAGAAGCGCCAGAAATTAAAAGTGAGGGGAATTATCTGACAGGAACACTCCCTGTGATCAGACACAAGTCGGTGTTCTCTGTTGCTGCGGTTGTTTTATTGTGGTTTCGAAAGCACGCCAGGGATGAAACTGCTTTTGGATTCATCTTAAAATATGATTTTCAGGAAATATCCTGTTTTGCACAACTCAAACATGTATTACTCTACATTTCACTTTTTTTATATGTTGTTATTCTTTCCTTATTTCAGATTTCCTCAACAGAGGAATGTGAAACAACTCAATATGCTGACATCTACTGTGAAATGAACCTCCTTTCTTAATAATGTCTGATGTTGTAAACGTTATATCATAGAATTCGAAGAAAAAAAAACCCCACCTGAACCTGATTTTCAAGAAATTCAATACCCAAATGATCCAGATAGATTTATGTTTGCTGAATCTGCGTGCTGCTTCTTTAGCAACTAAAGAAACAAAAAAAAGAGAGGGGGTGTTACGCGCTGCTGTGACAGCATTCTGCCATCAGGGGGCACTGCAACTTCACCGCCGCACAAGGAGCACAGAGTGCAGCGACAAAGACCGAAAGTGTGACAGAGGAAAAACAAGTGGGGGAAATAGTTGGGAGGACAAAAACTATGGGAAAGGGATGTGAATAAGCCACGTGACAGCCAGTAAGGGAGATCGATGAGTAGGGGGGTCCAGGGCACAGGAGACACTCTATCCGGTCCTTCAGCTTCACGGGGGACACTTCATCCAATGCATGTCCTCTGTGTAAGAGAGAAAAAGGGTTTCGTGTGGATAAAGATGTAACATTTTTATTTTGTTAGATTCTGATGTACAACATTTGTATTTTATTAGGTTGGGTAGTATATTGACAAAAAAGGAGGTATGTGGCCTCAGTGAACTACATTCGTACCACATGTCCTTGTCTCCACTTGGACTTGACCTTTAAAGTTGTTGTCTTCAAGCTTTGACTGGCCGAATCTGAACTCACCAAACATCTCATTCAGGCAAAACTGCTCACTGCAGCAACAGTGACCTACAAAGGGTGAACGGCACAAAAACAGCCAGAACGCCAACATAACAACCAACAGCGTGGGAGGTCAAGGGTCAGAGATGCAGAGTCCACGCAAAAAGATCGTCAAAGTACCAGAGTAAGTAGTTACGTTGAGTTTAATTATAGAACTGACTATACGGTTCTGAAGATATTAGAAATATATGATTTGTGTAACTAGGAATACATCATTGATCAGTTCCCAGAGGGCTACAATTTTCTCTCATCCTGATTCTGATATTTTTGACACACATATCTGACAAAGAGGAGCACTCTTTATGAATAAAGTTTAGTTTACTAATAAGCCTTTGAAAACAAATTCATAATGTTAACTATGTATGCGTGTGTGTGTTTGTGTGGAGTAACATACAAGAAGACGGTATTGCACAACAAAAGTTGTGTAACCAATGATTACTTTTGGATGGATTTGGCTGTAGTTGAACAAATTATTAGTGCAACATGGAGAATTTAGGTTACAGGGTTTTCTAAAGATCAACGCCAACGTATGAAACTTAAGAAATCTTGACCTCTGCTGCTTTATACAGTATAATAGTATTTATACAATATACTGTACGGAACTTTTATCTTCCCATTGAGGTTGTATAATACCAAATAAAGAGTTTTGTTACCAACACACACTAACTTTTTTGTAAAAAAATAAAAAACATTTGCATTTTCCCTAATAACACAAATCACAGTGCCACAATAAAATGAAACAAAGTGGCAATTTCCATGTTATAACGGAAATGGACAGAACAAAAGTAAGGCGACAAAAGAAAGACTAAGAGGAGGAAGGGAAGAAGAAAGAGACACAAATCAAAAAAGCGACATTGGGTGAGCGAGTCAAAAGCCTGGAAGTGCTTTCTTAGCTGTTGTGAATGTGTGTATGTGAACGCGTGCGTGTGTGTGTGTGTATGTGAACGCGTGCGTGTGAGTGTGTGTGTGTGTGTGTTCAGGGGCTCGAGAAGTGGGCAAAAAACATCTGTGACTGCAGTGATGTCATTGAGAAGGGCGGCAAGAGAGGAGCAATTAACCATCATAAACACACACACACACACACACACACACACACACACAGCAGCAGTGTGGGACACAACAGAGCTGTAAAAACAGGGCCAGCTTGCGGCCAGTCAGTCCGTTACCCATGATGCCTTGGTGCTGGATGGTTGTCACTAGGTTCCGGTCGGCGTGGCAACAAAGCTTATTAATCTGCTGATGGAGGGCCAGCTGCAGAGGTGGCAGACACACTCTGATACACACACACACACACACACACACACACACATGCACGCACAGACACACACACACACACACTAGCTTTGTACACAAATGAACGTGCACATTCACACAAACGCACATCTAAAACAAGCACAAGTGACTATTTACTGCAATTCCATTTTAGCGCTGTTACACAACTTTTACCGCGCACACACACACACACACACACACACACACACACACACACACACACACAGACATTCTTGCGGTCTTGCTCACCTCTTCATCACTGCTGGTCCTAAGTCAAACCTGTGAAGGTCAACACTCAGTGTGACACTTAATCATTTCTCTATACACACTAAAACAACAAGCATCCCACACGCACACACTCCCCCCCCCACATTGCTCAACATTTCAGAGTGGTTTTACGATTACACACAGAAACATAGTCTGAATATATGTGCGTCTATTTGGTCTGCGTTTGTGTTCCTCATTTCTTAGTTTTTCTCCAACTTTAATGCCGTTCCCCCAGCATATCCTTGGTGGTTGCCTAGAGACGGGGATTTTAGCAAGGCCCCTTGGTTCATTCCCACACAGCCCTCTGGTGTGTGTGAGCGTGTGTGAGTCATGTGTGCGTATGTGTGAGTGTGTGTGTGAGTGTGTGTGTGTGTGTGTGTGTGTGTGTGTGCATGCATGTTGAAAGGATATTTCTCCCCTTTGCCTTTTGAATCATTCTCAGTGTGAAGCAGCTCCCCGTGGAGACAGTATGGGTGGGCAGAGAGGAGGAGGTGAGGGAGGTGAAGAGGAAGAAGAGGAGAAGGAAAGAGGAGAGGAGGGAAGTGACAAGAAAGCAGAAGGCTGAGTAAAGCAGGAGGGATGGAGTGAAAGAAGGAACGGAGAAAAAGAGGAAGAGGAGCTGGGCAGTATGGCGTAGGAAGGGAGGAAAGGAGGAGGGAAGGAGGGAAGGAGAGCCGCTGGTCACACATCAAGGCCTGCAAACAAAGAAGCCAAGAACTCTCCTTCCTCTCCTTCCTGCATCCCTCCATCTCAACAAACACAAGTTTCTTTTCTCACAGGAAGAGAGTGAATCCAATGCTGCGGCTGCCTGACGGAGCGGTTAGCTCATCTTAGCATCAAGGTGTGAATATTATTTTCACTAACGATATAGAGGCGCTCAAACATCGTCTATATCGTGTTGTGGCTGCTTAAAAACCCATGCAGGCAGTTGTCAGTGACTGAGTTGTGACTGTGATGAACAGGAAACTAAAATAAAGTTAAAATGGTATGATTAATGTAAAAAAGGGAATCCACAGATTTAGATTCAGTTAAAAAGTAATGCAAAACTTTATAATAGAGCCTAATGTTTGTGTATTTTGTTGTATACTCGCCTACTGTACAAATTTCAGCACACAATGAAGCAAAATCCAAAGTTTGGATAAGTGCGACATGTCTACTAACTGATTTAGCATTGAAATAGAATTCAACAAGTGATTTAAGAAGGTGAAATATTATGTACCAACGTGGAACTAAAAGGACAACAAACATAAAAAACTGCTCTAAATTAGTATAGTATATACTATATGTAAAGTATACAGTTTTTTTTATCAGTGTTGCCCACATACTTTTACTGTATTTCCCCAGTTCTATTGACATTATGTCTAAATTTGCTGTACTTTAAACTTCAATCACTGATACTTTTAGCGTTGGCTCAGACTAAAATGTCGCATTGATAATACAAATTTTACCAATAATGTGAAACATGGCAAATTGCTACTTCCGCGTCACTAATAACAGTTATTACCAATCAAAAAGTAAGTTGGCGTCTTTGTGGTATCATCACCTCTCGGAGATTGAAGTTGAATTGTCAAAAAACTGCATCCCACCTCCGTCAATCTGACTGATCTTCACCAGAGTTATTCATCATCTTCCCACACTACACTTTGGTATCTATAGTGACAAAATGACAGTTTAATTCACTTCCCACTGCTCTGATTCGGAACTCTGAACACAGTTCGTTTCTCACAAGAAAAGAACCTCACACATCTGTAAACACGCTGCAGTTTAAGTAAACGCCGCAACGAGTGTGTACAAATACTGCCGCGTAGTCACATGACAACATCGCGTCCTACTAACCTATCCACCACGTGTGTTTTCCTTCCGGTTGCTAACTTTTGTGGGACTCCCATGAGCCCTTGCCTCCTTGTGCATCACCTCTTCTCCTTCCACACCTCGTCATCAACCCCTCCTCCCCCCTCTTCCCTCCCTCCCTCCCTCCCTCCCTGCATAGCACCTCCTCATCCCAATCAACCCTCCTGCTCCCTGCATTCCTCCCTCCTGATGTCAGACTCTAAATGAACCACAGTGTGAGCGTGTGTGTGCGTGAGTGTGTGTGCGTTTTCATGTGTGCTAAAGGGTCAGGCTTGGTTGCCAGGACGATAGGCCCTCCAACAGCTTTCTGCTCCGACGCTTTGAGCCGTGAGCTCTCCTCAAAGCATCATGGGAAAACAATTAAAACCCTCTCCAAATCTCTCGCCCTCCTTCTCTCTCTTTCCCTCTCTTTCTCTCTCTCTTCCTTCCCTCCGTTTCTTTCTTTCAGACACTCTTCACTCTTGAGTTTCTGCATGAATTGGAAGCAAGTTCTTTATTGTGTTTTCCACCTGAGATGTCTCTTATGGGAGGATATCGTTGGGCTTAACTCTAAACGGCAAAGTCTGAAGGCTGTGTGTGTGTGTGTGTGTGTGTGTGCGTGCTTGTCTAGTTTCAATTCAATCGTTGCGCTCTGTATTTCATTTATTTTGAATCTAAGGCCCTTTGTGACTTTGTGAATGGAGTTAATAATGCTATTCTTATTAGTTTTCACTTAAGGTAAACAAATGACTCCTACTTTATTGATTTGACCAGATTCACAGTGCAGAGTTTGATTATTTTATGTTAATTTTAATAAGATTGCTCTTCTACATCCTCCACTGCTATGCAGGAAAGGCCTGTATGGGTTCTAGTTAAAGATCTCCATTGGGACGCTGAATAAAGGTGTATCGGACACCAACAGTATCATTAACGGCAAAAGCATCACTTGCTCAGGACCCGGCAGAGGGGCTTGCACATAGTTCTATGGTTCTATTTTTTACTAAATTGTTTTAATGTTGCCAACGGCCGCACACAAAACAGAGACACAATACACAATGTGTGAACAATGCATAGGAAAATCTATGACAGGAATATGGAGGAAACGAGACAAACAAAAGGGCAGTGAACAAAACGCAAAAACAAACAAACGTAAAATAGATAGTTGGACGCCTTAACAAAATCGTTGTTTTTTTAGTTTTTGGGAATGATATTTTAAGCCTTCTTATTCAGGCAGGAGCAGCTGTGAGCTGAGGAGAGAATGAGAAATTCCTTAATTGTAACTGGGATCAAACCATAGGATGTTGCAATGACTCATCCTAAACCCAGAGGCCACCTGATATATCCCAGAATGCTTTGCTTCCTGAGCTCCAATCAAAGCAGTTGTGCGTCTGTGAAGGTCCATCTCAACCATCCCGGCGATAAGTTCTGAATGTTTAAAAAACATTTAAAACAGTGGAAAGGGAGAACTAAATGTGCAATTAAACCAATCGGGTTTTCTTAATTACATACAGAACAACGCGTCTATATTCGACGCAGGCTTCCCCCGAGTGTCACTATAATAACATTCACAGCACAACGTGGTTTTAACAGGTCATAGTTACAAAGTCAAAAGGTGGGACCAAAAGTCAGGGTCCGAGCTC